AAACAAATAAATAATACACCAGGATCACATGAAGATTAACCCTTCAGCTTATCTGATTTTAGGATTAGCCTAACCACCCGAACACTAACCTACCCACGCCTAATAATAAACTAACCACCCCGCCCCAGGGAGCATCAAAGACTTTAATCACCAGTTAAAATAAGCTGGTGGAGTTAACCTTCATGTCACCCCACCTTAATAAAATCAATAAATCAGAAAAATATCGAAATGCCACAACAAATATCGGAACACAAACAAAATAAAGGAAAACGTAAACAACTTTGACAATATTGATTTATGCGATCCACTAAAATATGTGTAACCCTCGACCACAACACCCAACCGGACCCCTCACCCTGTTGTAACACCCTGAACTACAGTATGGTACAGTGTAACACCCTCACTACGGCTACAGGTTCAGGGGGCCCCAAACTAACCTGACCTGGCTTTAATTTACGTAACCATACATTTGGTTAGGTTAGGTTGAGGCCTTACAGAACACTTCAAAGCTCCATATAAACAGTGGGATTAAGAGGGTGTTTTAAGTACACTCACACAGTGTTTATAGTGGCAATATTGGGCCGAGCAGTGATAGTGCCTGATGAAGCAGTGTTCCTTTGCTAACGTTATCACTTCAGTTCTGGTGAGTGGGTCCCAGAGGCCTGACTGTCCGTTAGAGGTGAAGATACAACATACGAAATACGATGCATCTGTTTACAGGACGTAGTGTGACCGGAATTAAATACACTCCATCGCCTTCACAACACCCAATTATAAAGCTAAGTAGTCATTAGTTACTGGGTCGACTGGAGTGCCTTGTTAACCAATCCCGGTACAGTACCCTTAGGAAAAGTTAAGGGTTGTAGTAATATCCTAAAAAACAGTTTTATAAATCTAACATTCAGTACATTAACAATATAAACCATTAAGTGAGTTATCATTACTAGGGTCTTGCCAACACTTACCTTCAGTTATTAATGAAGCATCAAGTTATAATGATACTGTCAACCTCAGCAAGACACAAGTTGAGAGTTTGGCTTTAACTCTTCCTTCATTTGTTAGTGTTTCAGCTCCACGGCATAACAATCGATGATGGTCGTCAATATATCACTCATTAAAGGGCCTTACCATGCCTCCCCTCTGCTCCTGTCTTCCGGGTCAAACAACAAAGGCTGGGATTGATCAGTGCATTCAGAGGTGACTAATAGTAATTAAGGCGTGAAGATACGATGACTGGTTAAACGAGTGCCATTCCTTTAAGGCCCCAACCTAACCATTAAAACAAAAACCCATTCCAACATGTTCGGTTAGAATCAACAGAACTAGGTAACCCGCAACCCATGATATCTTTATATAAACACCTTGCAACATTATTTAGTCTCGTACTAACTTCACTTGTATTAATAGGTGAAGGTATGCTACCCTGTGATCATTTTTGTAACTGCATTAATTAATCTGTAACGCTATATTAAATACTGTTCTGTAATAACCTCAGGAACTTGCAGGGTTCTGTGGCCAGCGTAATAACGTATTCTGTCGAAGATACTTAACATACTGCACCAGAAGCTTCAAAGAGACGGTGAGATTCCTCGTGACGGCAGCTAATGGAAGGGAACTAACGACTGGTAGAAGAACAACAGTAAACGCAGCAGGTCAATCAATACCTGCAGCTGCGGGGGTTACCGTACAGTACAGCAGGGGGAGTCGCTGGCTACCTGAGGTGATCCAGTGATTAATGCAAGATGAAGGTAAAAAAAGGAGACAATCTTCCGCTACAGACTTGACACTTGCTTGGAATGCCTGGGTTCTACAGCATCCTCGGGAGTGAAGGACAACAAACCTTCAACCACACAAGACTAATATTACAACCACATCATCCATCATTTCCTTAAGTTACATACACCAAAATACTCAACCACAGCTCGACGGATTTCAAGATATTTTTCTCATTGCTATCATTATCATCGTAACTATTACAATGATATTTACTACTGTCATTATACATAACAAGCCAGTTCACATAATCGATGTCTAGCAGTAAATTCAGCTCCATATCCTACACTATTAACTGACGTGAACTTTACAACTTATTTACCTTCTGCCAATGACCGTGATATACCCACATGTAAATTTACTGTGTTAATGTTAATATTCAGTTTACTTGGTATCGTTTATCACACAAAGTCGTAGTTAACCCATTAGCAAAAAAAAATACAATTAACAGTTTTAATGCAGACGTGTAGTTCAGGTAATGCATTAGCATAGTTCAGTTAATACAGTAATCTAGTTCAGGTAATACAATAGTCTAGTTCAGGTAATACAGTAGTCTAGTTCAGGTAATACAGTAGTCTATAGTTCAGGTAATACAATAGTTTAGTTCGGGTAATACAATATTCTAGTTCAGGTAATACAGTAGTCTAGTTCAGGTAATACAATAGTCTAGTTCAGGTAATACAATAGTCTAGTTCAGGTAATACAGTAATCTAGTTCAGGTAATACAATAGTCTAGTTCAGGTAATACAGCAGTCTAGTTCAGGTAATACAGCAATCTAGTTCAGGTAATACAATAGTCTAGTTCAGGTAATACAGCAGTCTAGTTCAGGTAATGCATTAGCATAGTTCAGTTAATACAGTAATCTAGTTCAGGTAATACAATAGTCTAGTTCAGGTAATACAGTAGTCTAGTTCAGGTAATACAGTAGTCTAGTTCAGGTAATACAGTAGTCTATAGTTCAGGTAATACAATAGTTTAGTTCGGGTAATACAATAGTTTAGTTCAGGTAATACAATAGTCTAGTTCAGGTAATACAGTAATCTAGTTCAGGTAATACAATAGTCTAGTTCAGGTAATACAGCAGTCTAGTTCAGGTAATACAGTAATCTAGTTCAGGTAATACAATAGTCTAGTTCAGGTAATACAGCAGTCTAGTTCAGGTAATGCATTAGCATAGTTCAGTTAATACAGTAATCTAGTTCAGGTAATACAATAGTCTAGTTCAGGTAATACAGTAGTCTAGTTCAGGTAATACAGTAGTCTAGTTCAGGTAATACAGTAGTCTATAGTTCAGGTAATACAATAGTTTAGTTCGGGTAATACAATAGTTTAGTTCGGGTAATACAATATTCTAGTTCAGGTAATACAGTAGTCTAGTTCAGGTAATACAATAGTCTAGTTCAGGTAATACAATAGTCTAGTTCAGGTAATACAGTAATCTAGTTCAGGTAATACAATAGTCTAGTTCAGGTAATACAGCAGTCTAGTTCAGGTAATTCAATAGTCTAATTCAGGTAATACAATAGTTTAGTTCAGGTAATACAGTAGTCTAATTCAGGTAATACAATAGTCTAGTTCACCTAACACTATGTAAACACTTCACCAAACACTGTCAACACTTAATCTAACACTATATAAACACTTCACCTAACACTATGTAAACACTTCACCTAACACTATGTAAACTCTTCACCTAACACTATGTAAACACTTCACCTAACACTCTGTAAACACTTCACCTAACACTCTGTAAACACTTCACCTAACACTATGTAAACACTTCACCTAACACTATGTAAACACTTCACCTAACACTATGTAAACACTTCACCTAACACTCTGTAAACTCTTCACCTAACACTATGTAAACACTTCACCTAACACTATGTAAACACTTCACCTAACACTATGTAAACTCTTCACCTAACGCTATGTAAACACTTCACCTAACACTATGTAAACACTTCACCTAACACACTGTAAACTCTTCGCCTAACACTCTGTAAACACTTCACCTAACACTATGTAAACACTTCACCTAACACTATGTAAACACTTCACCTAACACTCTGTAAAGGATGCACACAAAGGAGTAAAGGTAAGGGTTTGGAGTTAATCATGTATGCTTGATCTATTGCTCACTGTGACACGTTACTACACTTAGGAAAATAAATTTACCTTAGTTAAAAAAGGCTGTGTAGGACAATAATTTCAAATCACATTAATAAACTTTTTTCCATCGGAATTTACATATATATTAACATGTTAAAAATTTCATTGCGACACTTACCTGTACACTTGTGGGTAAAGAATTTCTTGTGTATTATATAAGATTAAAAGGTGCACTGACAGTCCACCTTCCTCCACTCACACCCCATGAATGTGGAGCTAGTGTTGTCGCTACACTAACCAACCGGAAGTGACTCCACCAATACAGTCAGTCTATACACTGGTCAGCCTTACATGTCAAGAACCCTAAAGATTCTCTACTTACCTTAAATAGATCACTCTATCACAAATTAACATCACCACTGGTTTATGGATCGTCTGTGTAATATATTGAATAAATGCAAATATAGGGGAACTAAGTCACTGAGACCCTCCATGGATAACAGTTAAAACGGGCTGGTCCATGTGGGTGTTACATGAGCCTATCGTCACAGCACGTTAGTTAGTCCCTTTAACTCAGACTTGGCCTATATTTCAAAAGCTGTCTTCAAACACACACAGGCTTATATCTCTCTATGAAAACAACTCCATCATCTTTATCGTTGCCCAAACTCGATACTTGGTGGTAGTGAGAGATGATCCAGGAGAGAAAACACTGGCTCACAGAAAGCGCTTGTTCTTGCAATGTTTACCACCGCCATGAGGCACCGTCACTTTAAGATGGTACGAATACCAGGTATATTTGGCATAAAAAATGACTTTGGGAATTGGGTAAACACAATGGAGACATCAGTGCTTAAGTGTACATGGTTTACATGTGATGCAAGCGTGTACGTGTGTGTGCGTGTGTGCGCGGTGTAGGTCGGGCGGGGTGGACATGGTTCCCGCCATCACGGCCCGCTAAACGCTCAGTGCGTCGCCAGACACGGTGCGGGAGGGAGCTCGCCCCACCGTCTCCGCGGACCCCCTCCCAGCTCGTCCACACATGAAACATCCCGGCTTATTTTACATGTTATGACATCACACATACACTCTACTTCCTCGATGCAGTACTCACTACCCTCACGCCACCACGAGATCGGCATAGTTTCCATGTTTCCTTGGTAGCGCGCTGCTTCCCCACTTTGGACACGGCAGCCTTCGCAGAAGGATCGAAGGCGTCGCCCAAAATTCAAATTTTCAGAATATCACTTCAATATCATTATCTTTGCACACTTTTTACCTTTCTCCATGACCTGCCACATTATTTTTCACTATTATTATAATTATCAAGAAAGGACCTTACCTTCCATGGGAAATGACCAGAGAATAAAACCACACACCCTTCCCCAACCACGAGAGACCAGATACTGACTTGGCCAACATCCGGGACATCTCGAATGGGAACCAAGATTTCACGAAACATAAATTTGGCGACGTACATATCGCACTGTAGATATTATTATAGAAAATTGCAATGATTTATATGATTGAGAAAACTATTTCAAATTAATTTTAAACTGGTAATAATAACTTGCACGATGTAGCTACGGATATCATGTGTACAATCCACAGTGAATTTAGCGGACTGCCGCACTGCGCATGCTCACAGGAGGCCGCGGCGGGTTTGAACGGAGATGCGACGTCCCTATAAAGTACATATTTACGTGATATTATTTACCGATACATAGATTTCCTACACACGTATTTACACTACTGTCTCTTACCTTAATATCAGTCAATGTTTTAATATTCTTCGGGGTGTTTAAAAATATTATAGTCTTGGTTGAATATTTACAAATCCATGGAAATCTTCGAATTACAGGTGTAGAGGCAGTAGTGACCCTTCTGTTGCAACCCACTACCTGGATCAAGATTCTCAAAGGGTCTTACGAAGAATAGCTCTCTAGCTTGAAGATATAGACATGCCCCAAACTGGCTAACTGGACTAAAAAAAACAAAAACATTAAACTTATACTGAAACTATCCTGCGCTACTGTTGATACGTGAGGGGAACAGGACAGAGAATCGCTGCAAATATTTACCTTATTTTTCAAGTCAAATGAACTTTATATAATTGTGATATTTCTTGATATTTGTATACCTCACTGTTGAATTAACCGAGTAAGTGAATTTCTACATCTTTAGTTACCAGGAAAAATATATCGTAGGAACTTATAACCCTGAGTCATCATCACTCAGGCAGGTAGGCTGGTTGACAACTACCAATTACATCCACATTCTATAGGACCTTTTCCCCAGCCTACGACACTCACAGCAACATTCTTTATACTGTATATAGGTACACACTCACACAAAACGTTCGATATTGGCAACACATTCTACCCCATTCATTAAGTCGTTATAGCCATTCACACACACGTAAATATTTATATAAAAATACTTGTTATATGTAACAGTTAATTACAGTTACCACCACACAGCCTACTACCACCACCCAGCCTACCACCACCTCCACACCTTACTACCACCACACAGCCTACTACCACCCAGCCTACCACCACCACACAGCCTACCCACACCTACTACACACCACCCAGCCCACACCACTCCACCACCTTACTACCACCACCACAGCCCACCACCACCACCCAGCCTACCACCAGCACCATCCACAGCCTACCACCACACAGCCTACCACCACACACACACTACCACCACCACAGCCCACCACCACCTCCACACCTTACTACCATCACACAGCCTACCACACACAGCCTACCACCACCTCCACACCACTACCATCACACACACACCACCACCCAGCCCACACCACACAGCCTACCACCACCACACACAGCCTACCACCACACAGCCTACCACCACCTCCACACCTTACTACCACCACCACACGCCTAGGCCTACCTTAGCCTAATATAAACAAACCTAACCTAACCAAACCTAACCAAACATAACCTAACAAAATCTAACCAAGTGCTTTATAGGCTGAAACTTTGGGTGCGGTTCATGGGTTAGTTTGGCTCTTTTATTAACTCTGTTCCTGGAGAAATTATCTGGATAAATCCTCAAGAAATTGGAAGATTCACAACAGAGATCTTAAAGTGAGTTTTATTAAAGGGTAATAGAGAAGGAAACTATGACTACACACACACACACACACACACACACACACACACACACACACACACACACACACACACACACAAACACACACACACACACACCAAAGTCTATACTGTATATCCCAATACGTCTGGTTAACCAATTTCTTCACCATATTTACCTGTTATGATCAATATATCCACTAAACCTTTGCTTCTTGTACTCAGGGATATACTTGTATCTTAATCCCCAGAAATAAACCATAGTGTTATTGAATGTTTGTAACTTTGTATTGTAATTTAAATTTTGTTTTCTCGCGTTTAATTGAACACCCAACAGCGTGAGATGTGAGTTAGATGGCTGAGGAGAAAATGTTTTAGAAATGGGTAAAAGTTTTAGTCCAGATAACAACGTACAGTACAGGACACTGATAAACTCTTAGAACACACACAGGACAATTAAACATATACTGTACTATATTAACACTACAGAAACATAGTACAAGTTACCTATATCGTCCCAAATAATAATGCAGTCACAAGACATGGGTTGTGCAGTGAGTTTAAAACATAACAAACCTCCGCCTCGATGTTAATATCTCTATATATAAACACGTAACGTTATAATTTATAAACCAAAAAACTACATAAAGGCTGACTGCTTCTTTCTATCACAGTTCCTTCAGGAGGTTCGTCTCTCAAACAGCTACAGGTTAATATAAAGTAGTATTCATGAAGGTAGTGTACAGCTGTCGGTCGTGTACAGTCGAGACGATACACAACAACACAAATAATGAGACGTGTAAGCCGAATGAGTTCAAATTTGTTCACGTGTAAACTGATGTGGTAATGTAGAATCAGTATTTACATATTTTAAAGACTACTTGTTTATATTCCCTGCTCCTACATTTTTATACCAAGATCAGAACTTAAGGTGAGGTACAATTCCTTCACAATTTCCCTAAAGGTGGAGAAGGCAGGATACTACTCGTTCATATTTCACCCAATAAACAAGAAAAAGGATACGCCGTGACTGTTATTCCCCCGACAAGGGAATAAATAGGCCCACTTGTATACCTGGTGGGTCGTGCTGGTGGGTTTATGGTGGGCAGGATGTACGCTCACCCTCTCCCACTCCACCTTCCGCGCCAGACCTGTCCGGGAGCCTCGCCCTACCTAACACACAACTTACCTGCAAAATACCTTAACAAAATTGAAATGACTCATCGATGAGATCTATGGTGCAAATATTAAACGTTAACTGCTGCAGGAGAAACAAGGAAAACTAGTGAGTCAAATTTGATCAAATAATTTCTAAGTTTACCAGTCATGAATAAAGCCAGGGATAAATACACCGTAAATGAACCTTATACCCGTCTGCCCTCGCCTACGGCACACACAGAATTCGTATATAAATTTACTGACCTTTTGGTACTGAAAAGCCCCACACAATATAGAATAACAAATTGATGACCTAAGCATCACTCTATTGTATTTAGCTGCAGTTTTTCATACCTATTTACGAACTGATATTCCCGTGTACCAATTAAACCACAATAAACACCAACACCATCTACATTTATTAAAAGACGATAATAAATAAGTCTTGAATAAATTGTTACAGTTCAACTAAACACGAAGCGCCATTTATGTAACCGTTCAGTAAAACATTATCTTTAATTCTTAATTCGTGATACAAGAATCAGGCGCTGTTTCATTCTATTTCGTTAGGATTATTTTTATAGTTCATTTTTTGAGTCTGATCAATTGTTTATCCAGTTATTTCACGTCAATTTCTTTTAGTGGGATTATTTTTCTTCGGCTTACTCTAGTCTGCCCAGTGCTTGTTCAGTCGTCTCTCTTTGGCTAGCACACTCAGTAATGTTCTTTGTTCAATAGCGTCAGTAAACTGTTCCACCATCCCTTTACAATAATCTTAAGGACCGTGACATGATTATTGATAAAACTACTTAAAAGTCTATTAAAGTTTGGCTGGAAGTTTTGACATGGTAATTAACGTTGCACTGAAGAAACTTAATGACCGAAACGTGAAATTAGCACTACAGTGTATTAGGAACCGAAATATGTGACCTGAGGGATAGATACATCTTCTAATCTCACATGCGCCCAATAAACTAATCCCCACACTACTTAAAATATTGAAACATCGTGACAGCAAAGGAGAATCCAAATTATCCATCATCTTTAAACCTGCACGACCCGTTTATGTTCACTTGTTTTTCTTTCAATAGGTTCAACAAAATATATGAATACGTTTTTTTTTGTCTCATTGTAAACGGGCGTCATTGAGCCGAACCTGATCCCCGCCTGTGTGACGTCACTGGTGAGGGGTGACGTAATTTTTTATTGCTTAATGAACGTCAAGAGGAAGCGCACATGACATGACACACAGACACACACACGCGAAACATCATATTACTATACAAACAAGATATAACTATTTCCCTTGATCGGGATTTAAATGCGATGGATATTGGGAGTGTTTTTTTTTCTTATAAATATTGATAGTGTGTTTGTAATAGTCAGGGTTCTGATCTATGTTCATTACTACTACTACTATTACTGATGAAATGCCACAATACTAATTATAATTAAAAAGATAACTTACAACTCTCTGATCCTCGCTGTGCCTTAAGTACTACCCATTATCAGGTTCAAATTAAGACAGCTGTAAACTATAACAGCTGTAGACTATGACAGCTGTAAATTACGTCAGCTGTAAACTATGACAGCTGTAAACTATGACAGCTGTAAATTATGTCAGCTGTAAACTATGACAGCTGTAAATTAGGTTAGCTGTAAACTATGACAGCTATAAATTATGTCAGCTGTAAACAGTGACAGCTATAAATTGTCAGCTGTAAATTACGTCAGCTGTAAACTATGACAGCTGTAAACTATGACAGCTGTAAATTATGTCAGCTGTAAACTATGACAGCTGTAAATTAGGTTAGCTGTAAACTATGACAGCTATAAATTATGTCAGCTGTAAACAGTGACAGCTGTAAATTATGTCAGCTGTAAACTATGACAACTGTAAATTATGTCAGATGTAAACTTGGCAGCTGTAAACTATGACAACTATAAAGTGTCAGTTGTAAATTACCAGCTATAAACTATGTCAGCTGTAAACTCGAACACAG